TCTCTGTGAAGTCCCGAAGTCAGCTCCAGGAATTATGATAACTATCAAAATGCCTGCCATTTGATATAAATAGATAAGATATAATATAATCGAAAACAGTGTGATCACTTAGGAGAATATTGACGCTTCTGTTATGTCATAATGGTATAAGGATGAAAAGGCGACTATTCGTTTATGCTCAAAAGGAATGATGATAAATTTTCGATAAAAAAAAAGTTGCTTCACTCGATTGTCAGCTAAAAATTATTAGCTTTATTAGAATGTTCTAGAATGTCATTTTATTGGTAAATTCGAATTAAAATCGGTTCGATCTTAGATGAAAGCATAGTTGGAGTGAGATTTAGATTTAATAAAAAAATTGATTTTTGTTCAATTGCACATAAATTTATGCTTATATTGGAATATAACTATTCCAAAGTATCTGAAAATCAAAGTTAGAAAGAGTTACGAATTATATACATGTGATTTTGCATTCGTTGCAAGACGAATTACAAGAAATATGTCATCTTACTGATATTTCGTATGTTCGTATGACCAGTTCTATATTTAAATCACCTGTCAGAAGATTATAAATTCGTAGAAATACAGGCTTATTTTGTATTCTTTTAGTTCTTGATTTATACCTAATTATACCATTTTTCTTTAGAATTTCGGTATCCATTTTCTTGCATTCTTCGAAATTATTAATAAAGGGACTCAAAAATAATATATTACACAATCTTATCTATTTTAAAGCATTAAAATATTGACAAAAATTTATTTTGAAGAATTGTATCTGATTGTGGCTTCTTGAATGCTCTAAATCTCAGATATAAACGAATCTACTCTCCGAGGCGCAATCTAAAACTTGAAAAATTTAAAAAGAGACAAGTTATCAACATGCCTTTCAGTTTTGGAACAAATTTTTGGAGTTTGAGGTTGCTGATTATTAATTATAGGGTTTCTTGCACTGGCATGTACTGCAGGAATAAAGTTTGATTGGCCAATAAAATCTGTCAACTTTGCACTGAACATTGATTTATAAGTTTAGAAATAAATTTTTCTCGATCAAATTCGAGAGAGCACATTCTATAATAGTCAAACTAGCATGCAAATATACAAATAAAAATAATTTTGTCATTATAGTAAAAAGAGAGAAATTTTGAGATCTACTACCAGTAGCATCCACTTTAGGCATTGGAATAAAAAATCGAAATATTCAATCCTATTGAGGCATTTTATAATTTAAAATGAATCTATGTCTTTGAAAGTATGTAATTTACATTAAAAAATTAACAAGAAATGTCATTTTAAATCAGTCTTACAGTGGCAGAAGACTTATAACTTCTCCATACTCTGGCTTTGTAATAAATAGCCGACAGATGAAATGAATGCTTTTGGCAACCGAGAGTGTCAACACACAATTTGTTTCAAATATTTTTTCAAATGGCAGGCTTTATGATATTTATCATTTATAGCAGTCCATTAGCTGTCTTCTTGCTTCCCAGTATCTCTGGATTTCTGCCGTTGTCTTTGGAGCTGGACATTGAATCAGGTGGGTCTTCTCCATTTCCTCCTGTAGGTTACATAGGGGGCATGTGGGTTGAGTGTATACTCCCAATCTGTGAAGGTGATTTGCCAGGCAATCGTGTCCGGTACGTAGTCTAAATTCAGCAACGGATTCGATTCTTGGCCAGTCGACTCTGTCGGAGTGTCACTGTCCACTGTTTCCCCTTTGTTCGAGCTTTAAGTTCGTTGCACCTTGAGGTCTGGAATTCTCTTCTGATTAAGGCCTTCATTGTGTGGAAAGACATCGGCCGGTCCATGCATTGCAAAATTGTTGTCCACCTCTTAGCAAGTGCGTCAGCAAGCTCATTGGCTTTAATGCCACAGTGACCAGGAATCCATTGCATTACCACTGTTTTGATTTTCTCTCTCAGCAGCTGATAGAGTATTTTATATTCGCATATCTCATCTGTTTTGGGTGGCTCTCTGTTTCCAATTGAGCTTATTGTTGACTGTAAGTCCGAAGTATTACTGCTTTGATGAATTTCGTATCCAGGCAATATAATTGACTTAGTGCTATCCTAATGACCTCTATGTCTCCTTCAATAGCGGATCAATTGTGTCCCGCTGGTGCGTAGAAAGAGAAGAGTTCAGAAAAGACACCTGCACCAATGTTTACCTGGTTTTCTATTTGTGAATCCTCAGTGAAGACTAGGAGCCAATGATCGGCAATATAGTTGACATTGATTGTCTCAAGAGCTAGTGAGCGCATTTGCCTGGAGGGGTATTCCTGAAGAAGTCGAGCAGTTGGGTGCAACACACTACATCCTGAAGAAGTCGAGCAGTTGGGTGCGTGAGGGGAGCGCATTTGCTCTGGAGGAGTGTTTGATTTCCTGAAGACGGAGCGCATTTGCTCTGGAGGGGTGTTTGATTTCCTGAAGACGTCGAGGCATTTGCTCTGGAGTGGTGTTTGATTTCCTGAAGAAGTCACGCAATGGGTGCGACACACTACATCAATGCCTGCTAATGGGTTCATGGGTAGAGAGAGGCTTTTTTTCGTTTGTCGTCGATTTGTAATGCTTGTGTATTAAACCAGATTGCGTTTTCAGATGTCTTGGTCTATAAGACCAGATTGCGTTTTCAGTTGTCTTGGTCTATTCTCATAAGTTCCGAAGAATATATTCATGGGAATGCATAGTAGTTTCTCATACATGATCAAGGCCTTCTCTTTGATATGGGAACCTATTGTGGTGCTTCCTGTAACTA